ATGTATTATAATCTGATAGAAAATCCTTATTTGAAAATCAATGTCCATTGACTTTCCATTAATTGTTTTAATCTTTTCACTAAATCTAACTTGTCTTTGTTTATTTAATAGATGGGTTGAATGAAACAAAGTGCTGGTTATCATAAGTTGTTAGCTGTGATTAAAAATAATTAGGTAGTGTAGCATAGTAAATTGTACTTTGAAAATATTACCCAAATAGACCCATTCTGCTAAAAAAAAAAAAAAAAAGGGGGGGGGCTTTTTTTTTAAAGCAGACATAGTCACAAAAAAGTGTTTTATTGAAAGCAATTAGTAAAATAAGTATAATGTGTATAATATTAGGCCTAATGTATAATGGAGTAATCCTATCCTATATAATAAAAGCCTGATATGCTAAGTGTCTGGTTGTCCCGTCATCCATTCAACCAATCAAAGCATAATGTGCTAATGATATGCTAAGGCCACTCAACCACTCGTTATGACTTGCACTGACCACCAGGAGGCAGACAGTTGACCAGTCGACCAGTTGCTATGATGTGCACTGACTGCCAGGGGGCAGACACTCTGACCTGTAGGTTAGTTTGCTGCTGGGGTCCAGCCGATTGGGACAGAGCGAGATGGGCTGGACATGCCCTGGAGCCCTCCTGTGGTCCCTCCCTGGCTAGCCAACCTCTGCCGTCCCTCCATGGCCCTGATAGTGCACCAGTGGGATCCCTCAGCCTGGCCTGTGCCCACTCACAATCCAGGACCCCTCAGGGGATGTTGGAGAGCCAGTTTCGGCCTGATCCCATAGACTAGGCCAAGGGACCCCACTGGTGCACGAATTCATGCACCAGGTCTTTAGTCCTATATAATAAAAGGCCAATATGCAAATAGACTGAACAGCAGAACAACCAAACAACTGGTCCCTATGACTTGCGCTGACCACCAGGGGTTGTGCATGGAACATGGTGGGCATCTGCAGTAGGTGGCAGAATGCAGAACATGGTGGGCATTGGGCATGGCAGGATGGTGGAGCAGGTGAGTGGGGGTGCCAGACCAAGGTGGGGTGCCAGTCACTGTCATCGGAGCGAGCCTCTGGTAGATACTGAAAATTCTTTGCTCCCATGCACAACAGTCCCGCCTGGTGCTCGCGCCCGGTGCTCGCACCCACTGCTGGCGATGGCCCTGCTTGCACCTGCTGCTGGCACTGGCCCCAATTGCTCTGCACTGTCAGCACATGGGAGCAGCAACAGTGGGAATGGGGCTGTCAGCAGACTGGACCAGGGGTCGTGGCAGGAGGGGCCGGGCCCGGGGTGCAGAGGATGGGCTGAGACCTGCCCTGGTGCCCACGGCAGCCTCATGGTCCACAGTTCCATTCAAGGTGCATGAATTTGTGCACTGGGCCCCTAGTGCTATTATAAAGGCCTTTTATCCTAGTCTGGCTTATATCATACTATTTAAAAATAAATACCACATATTTTTTTAAATGTAAATATTTAAAACCTGTTTGGTGACTCTAATTTCTAACAACATTCAATACCCCAAAATCAAAGTACTGTAAAAGCATTTATGTAACTGCCTAAACCTTATATGAAACAGAATCTGAGCCATAAGTGATGACTAGAGGCCTGTTGCATGAAAAGATTCGTGCAGTAGGCCTTCCCTTCCCCTGGCTGCCAGCACCGGTTTTCCTCCGGCACCGGTTTTCCTCCGGCACCCAGGACCCAGGCCTTCGCTCCGGCCAGAGCTGCCTTCAAGCCTTCGCTGCTCTGGCCAGAGCTGCCTTCAAGCCTTCGTTGCTCTGGCCAGAGCTGCCTTCAGTTTCGCTCCGCCGCTTCGCGCATACATATGCAAATTAACCGCCATCTTTGTTGGCGGTTAATTTGCATATCTCGCTGGTTAGCCAATGGGAGGCATATCAAAGGTACGGTCAATTACCATGTTTGTCTATTATTAGGATACCCACACACCCACCACTCAGCATCTGTCATTAGCATTTTATTATACTTGTCCTATCACATGTCTTTCCATCTTCTTCTTTGTGTGCAATTCAAGGTAAATTGCAGGCATTAATTAACTTCTCTCAAATACTTCAAACTGCATATTATTAGAATTCAGTATTTTTTTTACAGATCTTTTTCTTTTTTTAAAAATATATTTTATTGATTTTTTACAGAGAGGAAGGGAGAGAGATAGAGAGTTAGAAACATCGATGAGAGAGAAACATCGATCAGCTGCCTCCTGCACACTCCCCACTGGGGATGTGCCCGCAATCCAGGTACATGCCCTTGACCGGAATCGAACCTGGGACCTTTCAGTCCGCAGGCCGATGCTCTATCCACTGAGCCAAACCGGTTTTTGCAAGATCTTTTTCTTTTAAAGCAAACTTTATACGGTGAAATACACACATTTTAAGTGAACATTAGCTGAGTTTTGACAAATTTATACACCTGTGGAACTCTAAACTCTATCAAAATGTATAATATTATCATAACTTGGAAAGTTCTCTCAAGCCCCATCCCAGTTAATCACCTTCATCTCGCCAGAGGCAACCATTATCCTGGGGTTTTTTTGTACCATAGTTGAGTTTTGCCTGTTCTAAAACCTCATTAGTGGACTCTAATATTATGTACTCTTTTGTTTAAGGCTTCTTTCACATAGCATAGTGTTTTTTAGTTTCATCCATATTGTTGCATGTCTCACTGATTTGTTCCTTTGTAGAGCTGAATAGTAATTCTTTGTATGAATATATTATAGTTACCTTACCCATTCTCCTGTGGAGTACACCTGGTTGTTTCCAGTTTTTGGCTATTAGTAATAAACTGCTATGGACATCCTTGTACAAGTCCTTTTATGGGAGTATGTTTTCATTTTGGGGGCAAATACCTAGAAGTGCAATTGACGGGTTATAGGGGAAAGTTCCAGACCATTTCCAAAGTGGGTGAACCAGTTTACACCCCAGTAACTGTGTGTGAAAGTTCCTTTTCACATTCTCTCCAAATTGGGTGTTGTCAGTCTTATCAATTTCAACCATTGTGGTGGTGGAGGTATAGTGATACATCATTCTGGTAGTTTATTGTACCTAAAATAGCTATTTCTTACATCCCACCCTCTCTATCTAACCAATCCTCAGACATAGCACTTTACCACTTTCTCACCCACAGTTTTTCGGTACTATAACTTTGTCTTCAATTTCTTTATGTCCCTTCACTTTTACTTATAGTCCCCTGTAAGAGAGAACTATTTTAAAATTGCTGACCACTATGGTACCAAAGCTTCAAGTTAATAAACAAATTACTCCTGTCATAGATTAACAGGAATTTGTTACCTTCCTACTTGTTTAGTTTGAGAAACGTTTTAGAGGGGAGAAAAGACAGGATAAAACTGTACAAGGCTTGGATGCACAAGCTGTACACAGATTCATAAACACAAGTCATTTTTTTCTGTCCATCAACTATAGATTAGCCATAACAACTCTTTCTAAAAACATATATTTTTTATTTATTTTAAAGAGTTAGGGAGAGGGAAAAAGAAATAGAAACATCAATGATGAGAGAGAACCATTGATTGGGTGCCTCTTGCATGCCCTCAAGGGGGATGGAGCCCACTACCTAGGTATGTGCCCTGACTGGAATCGAACTGTTAACCCCGTGGTTCATAGATTGATGCTCAACCTCAGCCACACCAACCGGGCTAATTCAACTGTTTATAAGATAAATATGAAAGCAAGATCCTACTGGAATATCCCGTGGCACCAAAATATTCAAGAATTTGGAACCCAGAATATAATATTGAAATCTTTGACAGTTTGGTAGTGTTTTAGGTTCCTTTGAATCAATTAGTAGAATAGCTACCTGAGTTGTAAGTATGGAAAAATCACCAGGTACTATACTTCCCCACCTGACTTAAATTCTTTCAATGATAAAAGTAGTTACAAAAACTCAACAGGTCAAACTTTTCTCTTTCCCATATATAGAAGTAAGTCTCAACCTTGGCTGCACCTTAGAAACACGGGGAGTCTGTTATCCAGGCTCTACTTGAGAGCAATTAAATCAGAATATCTAGGACAGTGGTTCTCAACCTTGGCTGCACATTAGAATCACCTGGGAATCTTTTTAAAATCCTGATTTCTGGGCCCCATCCTCCAGAAATTCTGTTTCTTTGTTAACAATGTTGTGGTCTCACCCCATAACAAAGAAACAGAATTTCCGGAGGATGAGGCCCAGAAATCAAGATTTTAAAAAGATTCCCAGGTGATTCTAATGTGCAGCCAAGGTTGAGAACCACTAATCTAGGATGAGACCCAGGCATCAGTGTTTCTTAAGTCTTCCCAGGTGATTCCAGTGTGCAGCCAAGATTACTAGCCAGAGCTATACAAGAACTCATCAAATGAAATTTAGGTAAGCATATGACTTTGTGCCCTCCATGAAACGTCCTCTAAGCTGCCTACCTACAAAGGTATTAGAAGTTTTGAAGCTGGGCTTCACCACTTACAAGCTCTGTGACTTTGGGCAAGTTCTTTAACCTGATGATTAAATGAGATCATAATGAAAACTTTCTGGTGCAATGAAGAGCTTAGAGTAGGTCTTTAACAACTATTGACTCCCTTCACTTTTAGAAGCGGTGCATATTTGAGTGAATGTGGGTGAGCAGGCTGTAGTGCATGAATTCTGCCCACTCTCTATCCAGCTTTTGGCAGCTCTCGGAAAGGAAAGCTGCCTAAATAGTTCTAGGGATTCTTGAGCTTAATAACCATAAGCAAAGGGTGGAGTGCCAAGTGAAAGATAAATGCTGTGGAAGGCGTGTCTTCCAGTGTTCCACTCCCTCTAAGGTTGTTGATCACGTGAGCTGAAAGTACTTCCCTATTCCCAGCGTCAGTCTCCCTTAGGCAGTGTCTGAGTCTGAAAGGGACACAGCGAGGAAGGGGTGGGCGGAGTAGACTTGGAAGGAAGTTTAAATACAGAAAAAGCACAGGATTTCAACAATGCCACACTTTACCGTGACTAAGGTAGAGGACACTGAGGAGGAGGCAGCAGCTTCAGTCCCCCAAGAGGGGGAGGCCAGCTTAGCAGAAATAAAAGCCCGGATTCAGCATTCAGATGAACCAGGTAAGTACTCAACGTGGGAGCTTTGGGAACTTATAGGGTTTTTCGTGAGAGAAATGGTAACAACTAGTCAAAAGACCTCCTTCACATGGAGAAAAAAATACTGTGGTTAAAGTGTTTTTCAATCAACTGTTTCACTCCCTTGTATATCTGATAACCTCTTTTCTCACATTCTGGTTTGTTTTTCCCCACAATGAGTTCTGTGTTCATTACCTACAGGTGAAACTGAATCGGTGGCAATGTATGAAAGGAGTTTTCAAGCAAAAAGAAAGGCACAGTAAAAGTCAATTTATGAACAATTTAGAATTCACCTTTTGCTCAGACAGTTTAAATTATATCTGGAAAAGTACATAAAGAGCGAGCATGGTTGGGTAGTTTTGTACAATGGACTTTGCACTTGTGACTTCTCAAGTTATTTAGCATTTTGCCTCAACTTACCAGTTAAACAGTAACTTAATAGTGAATGGTCTAAGAATTCTTTAATGAAAGAACAAAAGTACATTATGGTGACTAGCATAGTATTGGATTTAATAAATTTGATGAATGTGATTATCCCTATTATTTTCTTTTACTAGTAACAGTTACACTTCCTGAGGGAATTGTGGTTTTGAATTTTTAAACATGCAATTAAAAGCTTGGTTAGTATTATAGTATTAAATATAGTTGTAGTTTGAAGCCCTATTTTTTTAAGTCTGTAAATTTTATAAATTGTCTAAAACTTCCCTAGTGCGTTAATGAAGGCTAAGGAAATAATCTCTCAAAATTCCTTTTGATTTTAACTTTTCTCTACAGCGATAACACATCATAGTTCCTTGCTATAAACAGCCGTTTACTCTCTCCTGTCTTATCAAGCCTTCTTGAATTTTTAAGAATCTTCAAAGATAAGGACTATCAAAAACAAATTTCCTTTTATTTTTTTCTGTCTAGTGAGAGAATTTACTAGGGAAGATAAGAAAGTTTTATGGAAACTCTTGTCTGTCTGGTTATTTTCATTTTGCTGAATTGTCAGGGTGATAAGAAGTTGAAAGTTTAACCTACTTTGAACTTAAACCTGATTTTCCACCTCTTTAGCCCAAAGAAGAAGTTAGGTTCTCCTTCAGAATTGTGTGTTTGAAGCTACACTGTCTTAGTTGTTTATGTTTGTTGCCCTTAAATTTTAATTTTTTTAGGCATTTGTCTTTGCTATTCTTCATTAATTTCACAAAATGCAAACAAGTGAAGTCTATCTGTATCTTATTTCACCTCTCATTGTTTTTTGTCTTCTCTTCACCACCTCTGTTTTACTATTTCATCTTTACTCGTGCCACAGTGTTTGAGGAAACTTGCTGTATTCAGATTAGAACAGTGTTGAAGTCATTTAATCTATTATCAGTCACCTAGAAAAGCCATAAACATTTTTTTATAGCAACCAACCCTGTAATAATTGACATTGCTAGGCTTAATTTATTTTCTCCCATGGTAATTGTTTTGGACAAGGAAGAGGTGACAGATATAATCTAACTTGAATTTAATAGGTTTTTTATTGGCGTTTTCCATGACAGCCCAGAAAGTGTCCACTTGAATGAACTATTGTTTGGTAAGTGAACAACTGATGGGAATACATTACCTAAATTGTATTTATCTTTATTGTAGGGTTAAATTAGAGGAAGAAGGGGGAAATGTATATGGGAATAACCTGAAAGTTTTGTTGTTTTTTACTTAGGAGTAGGATATTCTCTTTTTTAAAAAAAATAATTTTTATTGATTTCAGAGAGGAAGGAAGAGGGAGAGAGAGAGAAATATCAACGATGAGTTTGATCAGCTGCCTCCTCCACGCCCCCTACTGGGGATTGAGCCCACAACCCAGGCATGTGCCCTTGGGAATTGAATCCGTTACCCTTCAGTCCACAGGTCAATGCTCTATCCACTGAGCCAAGCCAGCTAGGGCAGGAGTAGGATATTCTTGAGGATGGATGGTGTTTCTGGAGTAGTTGCCTGAAATGCATTTTGTTCGTCTGAGTTAAAATATCCTAAATTGATTGTGGCTTTTTGCAAGCACTTCTAATATGAGCCATTTACGTAACCAGTTGTTTGTTCTCCGGGCTCTTCCCGCTGCAGTTTGACAATCTGTTTGAGGCAGCTCTGCCTCTGTATCTATTATTGTTCAAAAGTTTATAATGGTCTCTATTATCCCTGTGTTTTGTTTTTCATTGAGTGTTTTTCTTTTAATATATTTTTATTGATTTCAGAGAGGAAGGGAAAGGGAAAGGGAGATAGAAACATCAATGATCAGCCCAGCCCATGTGGCTCAATGGTTGAGTGGTCGCCCAGGAACCAAGAGGTCACTGGTTCAATTCCGGGTCAAGGAACATGCCCAGTATGCGGGCTCGATCCCCAGTGGGGGTGCATGCAGAGGCAATCGAACCTGGACCTCCTGGCTCAACCACTGAGTCATGCTGGGTGGATGAGTGTTTTTTTCTTTTTATAATGAAAAATATGGAGAGAGAAAAATACGTAGTGTCATATAAATTGAACATATTTAAAAACCAGATCATTCTTTAAATAAATTTTAAAGTGTTTTTTAAAAGATGAGATTTACTTGAACTAGACACGTAATTTGAGGTAAAATATAAACTAACTTTAGCCCTGGCCGGTTTTGCTCAGTGGATAGAGCAGGGGTGGGCAAACTTTTTGACTCGAGGGCCACAATGGGTTCTTAAACTGGACCGGAGGGCCGGAACAAAAGCATGGATGGAGTGTTTGTGTGAACTAATATAAATTCAAAGTAAACATCATTACATAAAAGGGTATGGTCTTTTTTTTTTTTTAGTTTTATTCATTTCAAACGAGCCAGATCCGGCCTGTGGGCCGTAGTTTGCCCACGGCTGGGATAGAGCGTTGGCCTGTGGACTGAACGGTCCCGGGTTTGATTCCAGTTAAAGGCACGTGCCGGGGTTGCAGGCTCGATCCCCAGTCGGGGGCGTGGAGGAAACAGCTGATCAGTGATTCTCTGTCATCATTGATCTTTCTATCTCTCCCTTCCTCTCTGAAATCAATTTAAAAATAATAAAAAAAATTATTTATGAAAAAAACATATAGAAACTGATTTTAAAAAGAAATATATTAATCCCTGCCATTTTAGTTGCCAGAATGCTAATCTGTTAGAACCCTGCTTAAGTTTGGTTTTGAAGGGAAAAGCAGAAACTCAAACATTCATGACTGTTTTTCTTTTCCCCAGTCCAGTTTCTGTGCCCCATCTTGTGTTTTCTCAGCAACTTGTCTACAGAATTAGCACGTATCACCTATTTACTTCTCTCTCCCACAATAGACTGACTATAGATTCCTTGAGCGTAGACTTTGTGGTATCATTTTTGTATCTCCAGGTGAATTGGACAGAACAGGCAGTTTGCTCACCAAACACAAATATCATGCTAGGTGTTGTATTTTTTTCCTAAAGTTACAAATGCATAGGAAGTATAAGTTCTGCACTAAAGGCAGCAGAATGGTTTTAGAGCCAGAGATACAGCTTTGAATTGCAGTCCTACTAATTATTACTAATTAGGAGAAGTGATAATTTGTATTATCATGTGAATGACTTTGGGCAAGTTATTTAACTTCTCTAACGCTTACTTTACTTAAAACAAAAGGAATAACAGTATGTATTTCACAGGGTGGTTAAGAATTACATGGGAAAATGAATATAAGCATGAACATATATGACACACGGCACTCAAAAATAAGAGCAACCTTTGCCCTGGCTCAGTTGGTTAGGTGTCATCCCCTGCACCCAAGGGTTGCCAGTTGGACTCCAGGTCCAGGTTTCAGGCTTGAGCCCCAGTGGATGGCGTACAGGAAGCAGCCTATATGCTATTCTCTCACATCAATGTTTCTCTTTCTCCTCTTCCTCTCTCTCTAAAAATCAATAAAATCTTGGGGGGAGGGGCGGAATAAGAGCAACCTCTTACTTATTAGTACTTTGTAGTTAGTGGTTTAATTAGGACAAAAAGAAACTGCTTTGGATAACAGATGATGAAGAGAATAATGATATGTGGAGAGGACCCGAACTGGTATCTCAGAGGATGGGACACAACTGATTCTTGAAGGAAGGTCTAGAGAAGGAGGTTACAACAATAGGAGCACTTAAGAAGGTATGACAGGAAGGTGGAGAGCATGTGGGAAACAAAAGTTTAAGGTAGCTAGCACACTGGGCATGGGTAAAGATAGCTAAGAGAAGTGTTACCAACTTCATCCTCTCCCTACTCTGTGAGACTACTAGGTGTTATTGCCATTTTAGAGATAAACTGAGGCTATTGACAGTAATTTGCCTCAGGCTACATGAGGAGTTAGTGGCAGGGCCAGCTGTCAAACTTCTAAGTTGTTTTTTCAACACCACTAAGGAGCACCCTGCTGTATGTTCCAGTAGTTAAGTTTCCATCTATTGCACCTTCTAGGAATTTTAATAGCAATGGCATTGAATTTAATCAAAAGCTTTTCAACATCTACTGAGATTCTCAAGTTTTCTTTCTTTTATCTGTTAACATTGAATTATATTAATAGAGTTCCTTATGTTGAACCACTTTTATATCCCTAACGTTGAATTTACTTTGTCATAATGCATTATAATTTTTAATTTTTTCTTTTAAAAATGTTTTATTGAATTTATTGGGGTGACATTGGTTCCTAATATTATATAGGTTTCAGTTGCACAGTTCTATAATACATCATCTGTATATGGTATTGTGTGTCTACCACCCCAAGTCAAGCCTCCTTTCATCACTATTCCTTCC